GAATTAAAGTACAATTTTTTTCATATGTGTGGGAAATAAATTTGGAAATACAGAAGTAGGTTTTTCATGATATGAATTTTCTATTTACTTTTTGAAGACCATTTATATAGCAGTGGTTCTCTAAGAGTGGTCCTGGGCCCACAGTTTCAGCATCACCTAAGACTTGTTTGAACAACAACAAGTTCATACAGGGATCTCGGGAGGAGAGGTGTGTATGTGAAACCAACAAGAGGTAAAGGCTATTGAAAATGTTGGAGAATGAAGGCAAGAAAGTAGATGAGTTAAAATAATAGTAACTACTTATTGAGTGTTTACTATGTATTGAGTATTATGTTCCCCATTCATTTTCTGTTTTATACCATTTAATTCTCCTGACACTTCAATTTACAGTGAAGGAACTGAGACAAGAGAGGACAAGCTGCTGCCAGTCATGGAGTAAATGGCAGACCAGGCACTGGCCAGTGAAGTCTGGCTCAGAGCACACCCCTTTCTCAGTCCCATGATAAATTTGAGGAGTAAAAGGTTATCCAGAATTGGGGAAGGAGATGTAGAAAGGCAGAGTCAAGGCTAGGAGTTGAAAAAGAATGTTGACTGATTAATTGAAAAAAAAAGTACATCAAAGATTTAAGAAGTCTGTTTACGATGCCTTCTTCGGGGAGTTGTCAGTGTGGTTTGAGGCTCACTCTCTGGGGACTGCTTGCATCGTGTCTGGATGAAGAGAATGACAGAACCGCAATCTTTCTAGACCTCTCCAAAAGCAACCTCAATCACTGAGTGATCCCTTTGGCTGCCACAACTGGTGTGGAAATGATTCCAGGCTCCCATTCCTATGAGATAAACATCCCCCCATCCTATTTAGCTAAACACTGACCTGAAATCGAGCAGGCTGGCAAGATGGAAGTTGAGTCATGACATATTTATTAAGCTGAGTACTGAGTTTGACACTCAGAGGAACACCAAATTAATTCAAGACACATTTCTAGCCCTTAAGGGGCTTACAACATGGGTTTGGCTAGGGGACCACCCAATATCCATTAGGATGGAGAAATCAAATCTCCACTTTGGGCTCATTGAACTGAATGGAGTGACAGGCCAGGAGATTAAAAGGGCCTTGGTGCATATGGAATACATGCCCAGCCTGCAGCCCCACATTCTGTGTGCATTAACTCCACAAGCAGCCTGACTGCAGAGTGAAGGTGGCTGTTTGTGCATAAACATTGTCATTTCACTGGGACTGCTATTTCATCTTTGAACCTTGGCATCAAAGGAATACTGACCTTATTCCTGTAGCTTGCCTCTCTTTGAAGCGTATGGCTTTGCATTGCAGATTAAAGTGAAGACATTCATCAAGGAACAGATCTGGCCAACCGCTCCCCAAATTCAACCCGAAACAAAGCCTTGAAAGGCTCCAATCACAGTTGTAGTGGAGCGGGCTGAAGATGAAGGCTCCTCTTTCTCAGATCCTGTAAGGTAGCTCTAGCATGACACAGTGCATCCCTTTGAGCTTTGGGCAACTTTACCCTGGGAGTCAGTCTATCTTTACAGAAAGAGATGAGCTGATGCAATAGTCTCAATCTGTCCTGTTCATTTTATTTAAAGCAGGCATTGTTGTAAATGAGGTCAGCGTGATCATTCACTGTATGCCTTTGAATTCTTCAAAAGATGTGTCAGAGAGAACTACCTGAAACTTGGCTGATAATTCCATCAACTTCCTTTTCTACTACTTTCCTTTGTTCATTTCTCTGAAAAGAAACTATCCTGTCTTTCTCCTATCTTGCTTCTAAGAAAATAGACTATACACATTATATTCTCTCTCTCGTTTTCCTTTTAAAATAGCAAGACAAGCAAAGTAAGTAACTTTAACTGTGACATATGTGAGGTTAAAAAAACAAATAATTTTTGGGACCAGCAGTTAGCGTAATGGCTATGTCGCTGGACTCCCACGTAGTCGACCGCAATTTGTGTCCCGGACCCGGTGGCTTAAAACTCACGCCAGGCGCATGTGCGTGCGTGCCCAAGATCCCGAGAGAAGAATGGAAGAGACGGGATTGTGGCATGGCCATCCCTCCTGGGGGGTGATTTCTCACTTTCTGTCTCTCTGTGTCTCTGTCTGGTGAGCGCATGCGCCCTATGGCAAAAAAACCTCTCCAAAAAAACCAAAAACCAAAAAACAAAAGCAAACAATTTTTAAGTTATATATATTCTTTCTCTTACTCTTAAGAGAAAGAATCAAGTGAAATATCTCCCACTATAAAGTGAAGAAAATGGTTGATAGATGACTATTATATCTTTAAATAAATCTTTTTGCAGATCTTCAATTGTGATCAGATAAATGGAGTGAATTCCATCTGTGATAAAGTAGTAAACCAAACCAGAGAAGGAGGAGGAATGATTGTAAAGTTGTGTACATGTAAATCAACAGATTCCAATAACACTATAAGGTTTAAAAAAATGAGTGAAAATCCTTGTTGAGACATTGGCTAATTTTCAGAACTACTTTTTCCTAGTTGCTATTCATCTTGACAAAAAGACTTAAAGGTAATTCTGGTCATTGAGATAACTCACTTAACTTGCATTTTTGCTTAAATCTCAAGTACTGATTTTCCTTTAAGAAATGCTTGATATTTAAAAAGATAGTTATTATGGGTCTATGGTGAGCCAAAGATTCCAGACCAGTTTTCTTTCATACAACCTGATAGCTCATCTAGAAATGGATTCAGCTCTACATAGCTGCAGTTTTAAAGGGTTGAAAGATAATCTGGTTATCTAATATGTACAACCCTTCATTTACCATCTTTGTGCCCTTTTTTTGACATGGGTGTGTGTCTAGTTTTGGTGAATGGACTGTTAGCAAGATCGTCAGTGTTACTGCCAGGCTGTGACCCTTTATAACTACCTTGGTGACCATGGAAGCCATGCGGTGACATGGCCAAGGCTCAAGCTAGAAGCAGACTAGGACTCTTCCCCCTTAGACAACAACCATGCAGAGAATTTTCTGATTTGTGTTAGACTTGGTGCAAGCAAGGAATAAACTTTGGTTCTGTTAAGCTACTGAAATTTTCAGTGTTTGTGAGGACCTTTCAAAAGTTGTGGAAAAAGAGAATTAAAGTAAGAGTTTATTTTAGTTCAAAAAATTCTGAAATCCATGAATGGTTTTTCCATAATTTACATTTTCCATTAACTTCCATGAAGACCCTTCAAATATGTTATGGTGGCAAAATCTAGCTAATCTTGATTAATCAAGGACCTTGGAGAACATCTAGTCCTGCTTCACTTCTAACAAGAATCTTTTCTACAACATTCCTAAGAAATGATTCAAATACTTCTTTACCACTTCAGTAAAAACAAGTGATAATAGCAAATCACAATAGGATGCAACACTTCAGTAATAATAGCAAATCAAAATAACAAATTATTGGGTTATTGGACAAGTCATGATGTATTTTTCTATGCAAAAAATGCATCATGACTTTTTTGATCACCCAATACAATAGCAAGCAAATTACAATAGCAAGCAATATATAATGCTTACCAATAATTGATACCAGACACAATTTTAAGTATTATACATGAATTGGTTTACTTAATTTTCACAAAACCCTTCAATCATATATATTATTTTTTTCATTTTACACCTGGAAGAACTGAAGCACAGATACATCAAGTAACTTGCATAAGGATGAAGGAATAAGTCACTTGCCTAGGACTACACAATGAGTAAATAGTGTCCCAGGACTCAAATACAGGCAGGCAGTCTCCTTCAGTTTTATACCATGAGGCCTCCCTAGATGAAATTCTCATTTCTTTTTACAAAGATTAATCAACATGATACAGAATCATAAATCTCAAAAGGTAAACCTAGATGATAACTTAGTGATCAACAAATCACTGTATTTTATATGAAGGCAAAAAACTATCATTCTGTGACTCTACAGTAGTTGGGAGTAAGGATAGATGGATTATATAGCCCAAGAGCCAGTTCAGGGCCAGTCTAATACTCCTTCCATAAATATTCTCACTCGCTTACCTGACAGCAGGATCTGCCTTGCTCATTACACAAGGAAAGCTGGTGTATGAAATATACCAAAAGCTTCCTAAAATTTATCCAAAAGATAGAAAGTTCTAAGAAGCTTTGATGAAACAATTTTTCATAAAGAAGATTAAGTCCATTTGAGCTGAACAAAGTATCACACTTTAGCAGTGGAGACAAAGAAATAGCTGTAATGTTATTGTGTGTGTTTCGTATGAAACATCTTCAGTGGCCAGTGGTGGCTTTCCTCTACCCCATGCCTGAGGACCCATGCTTGACTATAAAGTAAGAAGATTTAAAAACTGAATATTAAAGTGACAGTTTTGGTCTCAAGGAAACAAAAGTTATGGACTCATGAACATGTGTACACACACACTCATATGGAACATTTTCTTTTTTTTTTTTTTGTCATAGGGCATATGCAGTCATCAGAAAAAAGAGACAGAGAAATTAAGAGAAAGGCAAAGTGAGAAATCACTCCCTAAGGGAGATGGCCATGCTGCCATCTGTTTTCCTCCCCTCTCCTCTTGAGATTTTGGGGATGCATACACATGTACCTGGTGTGATTTTCAAGCCACCAAGTTCAAGACTTGAACTGTGGTTGGCCACGTGGGAGTCCAGCATCTTAACCACTCTGCCACCTGCTGGCCCTTTTACTAATACTTTATATATAATTGATGACACAAAAATGATCGAAATTTACTGATCACAATAAAAGGTGAAATAAATATCTTTCTTCTCATTAGAAATGTACATTTTGTGTGTGTGCATTCTAGTACATTTATCGTTAGGAATGTATTTTGTGTGTGTGCATTCTAGTACATTTATCACTAGGCTTGATTTACAAATTGGGTAACACAAAACCAAGAAAAGTGTCTATTTAGGAAGCAGGAAGATGGATGAGGAGAAAGGAGGCAGAGAAAGGGCTGGGAGAGGAGTTCACAAGAGCTGTGCTCTCTGCAGACCTTACCTTGCGTGGTCCCATCCAGTCCCATGATGAGCTTCATTCCTCTGATGATGTGCTCTGCTATCGGGGGGCTCATGGATGTAGCATAAACAGCACTATGTGAGTGAGCCCTTAAATAATCCACGACATCCTTAAATAAAGGGAGACCCCCCCAAAAAAAGAAGGGTAAATCAATCTCAATGTTTGTAGTGAGAATCACATCTAGTCCCATCCCTACCCATCACAGCAAAAGACATTTGATTCTTACAACTCTAAAGATGAATGTGATCTGACTTTCAAGGGTTATCACCAAACTCTCTTTTCTATTTCCTTCTTCTTAGTCCTTCCTCAAAATCCTAGATATCAGGACCAGCAGGTGGCATGGTGGTTAAGTTGCTGGGCACTCCCACATGGCCAACCATAGTTTGATTCCCGGTGGCTTGGTTTCTTACTCCCCCCTATCCCATGCCTCTCTCTCTGGTCAAATTTAAAAAATGAATGAATAATCAAATGGGAGGAGGGTTGGACAGGGCAGAGGGTTAGGGATAGGGAATCAAGGATGGCAAAATAAAAAAAGAAAAAATGCAAAATGTACAAGACATAAGAAATGAAAAATTGTTTGTTGATAACACGTATGTTGATGTGCTTGATTGAGCCAACAGACAGTGTATTTTGGATGAAAAATTCGTTTTGTATACTGTAATGATGTATAGCATATTAATGTTAAAAAATAAAAATAAATAAAAAATAAAAAATATTAAAAAATGAGTGAATAAATAAAAATATAAGAATTATTAAAAAAAACTACAAGCTATACAAAAATGGATTGCTGCAAGTTTGGAGTTGGAGTCTGTCAGGCAAAACAAGATGTGTAAAGGAAAAATTATTTTTGAAACATGTTGAGTGTTGACTACACATGAGCACTGACTTAGTATTCAAGAGTTTCCAAAGGACACAGAAGGTGGTTCTTGCCCTTGAAGATATATTAGATATGATTGTGCCCATGGAAAAGTAATGATTGGTAAAGTAACAGTATAAGCAAATGAGTACAGTATATGTAACAAGGCTACAAGGTACAGAGGAAAGAGAGAAGGTACTACTACCTGGAGTAGACAGGAAGAGTGAGGAGTTAAGTGAGGAGTTAAGATGAATTAAGCCTTTAAGGATAAAGACAGATACAGAGGAAAATAAAACTTGGGGGGAAGCAGAAAAGAGAAGTTGAATAAAGATGTGGAGGCAAGAAAGCACAAGGTATGTTTTTTTTTTTTTTTTTTAAATGGTGGTAATTCTTACATTCCATCTACCTGAGTACCTTTGCAATACAACATTACAGTTCTTCGCAGCAAGCAGTGGCTGTATCTGGGCTGGTCTTTGTGACTTACTTTGACCAGCAGTGTTCCTGAAGTTGATGATAATGAGATACTGTTCCTGAGGCTAGGCCTTAAGAGGCATGGAGTACTTTTATTCTCACAAGGCCCGTACAAGCTGCCAAGTGAACAATTCTGAGGTAGCTTGCTAGAGGATGACAGCTAACTGGTGTAGAGAAATGCCAGCCTAGCTGAGCCCAACCCAGGCCAACCGGTGCCCCAAATGTTCTAGCAACTCACAGTCACTCAAAAGAAAACCCCACTTGCACCCAAAGAAGTGCCTAGCTGAATTCAACCCATGCTGCTAATGTGCAGAATCGTCAGCTAAATAATGGTGGTGTTGTTAGTCACTAACTTATAGGGTGGTTTGTTACACTGCAAAAGCTAACCAATACAGTGAATTCAGAGGACTGCAAAAGATAATTACAGTTAGTGGAAAATTAAACCAAAATGTAGGTTAGGACCAGATAAATTCTGATCATGTCCTGGGAAGTAGAGAAGTGTTTTGAAGAGTATTGAAATGTTTGTGTAGCACTCTTTGGAGTACCAAGCCACTAAATAATGCTGGTCCTCAGTGGTAGGAAGAATTGTTCACCTGCATGCCCCATTCCTGAGGCAAAACGTATAATAACTTGTTGAGAGACTTGATATTCCAACAGACTAATGCCACAGTGGGGAGCCCTCAGAGCCCTCCACATGGGCTCAGACCTGGCTACACAGACCAGGTATTGGGCCACCTATACTGGCTCAAGCACCAGGACAGTCAGTATATCCTTAAGAAAAGCAAATGGGGGTAACCAGCAGTTAGCGTAATGGCTTTGTCGCTGGACTCCCATGTAGTCGACCACGGTTCGTGTCCTGGACCCAGTGGCTTAAAACTCACGTCGGGCGCGTGTGCGTGCCCAAGATCCTGAGAGGAGAATGGAGGAGAAGGGATTGTGGCGTGACCATCCCCTCTGGGGGGTAATTTCTCGATTTTTGTCTCTATGTCTCTCTCTGTCTGTCTGGCAAGCGCATGCGCCCTATAGCGAAAACCTCTCTCCCCCCCCCCCCCAAAAAAAAAGAAAAGAAAAGCTAATGGGCTGATAACAGCTATCTGCATTAGCAGTTGGGTCTGTAAAGGATTAACCACCTTCTCTTGTAGGGTAATGACACAGCTTAGAATTTTACTCAGATGTCTTTTCTGATCATTTCTCATGAATTAGGAGGAACCCTTAGGAATCTAGATCCTCTGCTTTAAGGTAAGTCTATACCCTTCTAACCATCCTTCTCACTCCTGAACCTGAGCCTATGTCTTGTCCCCCACTCTTCCATCTCTCTTGGGAAATGTGTGGTGTGAATGTTTGCAAACTCTTTAAACATTCACAGTCCATCTTCCTCAGTAAAGTGGGCAGCCCACCTTATAGGTGGCTGGTGAATGTTAAATCAGTTATGTGAAGCCTCTACCTGGCCCATGGGAGAAATGAAGAGCTTCATTCTGTTTACTCTGTCTCCTTCAATATTTCTTTCATTCCTCATCCTCTCTTCTATTTATCCTTCTTCCCTGACTTCCTTTCTCCATCTTCTTCACTTTAAACTGTTAATTGCTTTTATTTATTCCTTCCTTTTCTTCTAGCTTTCTTCTTCCCTTCAAACTGGATCCCTCTCTCCCTCTTTTTATTTCAAGTTATCAATTTAAATATTTTTTCTCTTCATTTCTTCCTTCATTCACATTTCCTTCCTCTCCCTATCTCCCCCTACTCCTTCCATTTTCTTTTCCAGAAAATGTGTCCCAAGGACTTGCTCTGGACTATGTCCTAGATGTGTGTCAAAGTCTAAAAGGAGAGGGAGGATAGAAAAGGGCCATATGGTTAGTTCCTGGCTTCAATTACCCATTTATATTAATAATTAAAATTAAGTTTCTGCCTGTTTTTTTTGGAAATCTCATAAAAACTCCTAGATATACTCCTTTATATATGAAGACTATGTGTATGATGATGACCTGAATAAAAGCATTGCTAACAAGGCATTCAGGAGGCTCACTTTGGAGGATCTGGGCACCTCAAAGAGAGAGTGGCCATCACTTTCCACATTTGCTGCAGCCAGGCTGCCTTTCAATCCCCATGTTCTGCACTCCTAGTGAATAGCAGCAGGGATTTTCTCCCTCTGTGAAGAGTGAATACCTTGGGAACCAGCAGTTAGTGTAATGGCTATGTCGCTGGACTCCCACATAGTCGACCGCAGTTTGCATCCCGGACCAGGTGGCTTAGAACTCACGCCGGGCACGTGTGCGTGCGTGCCCAAGATCCCGAGAGGAGAATGGAGGAGAAAGGGATTGCGGCGTGACCATCCCCCCTGGGGGGTGATTTCTCGCTTTCTGTCTCTATGTCTCTCTCTGTCTGTCTGGTGAGCGCACGCACCCTATAGAGAAAACCTCTCAAAAAAAAAAAAAAAAAAAGAGAGTGAATACCTTATATGGGACATTGGGGAGCCAAGTAGGAGAGAGTGGGCAAGTCATAGGAACTAGGTGATAAGAGTCTTGTGGAGGTGTCAGGAAAGGGGTGTTTAAGAGGATGATTTAGCTATAAAGAATGGGTAGATCTGGATGATGCAGAGAAGGGGAAATGCATGGTGATGTGCTAGAATTAGGAATAAGGATGGCATCTCATAGGCAAAGAATAGAGGAGTCAATTGGGTGTAGAGGGAGAAGCTAGTGCTTCTTAGACAAGGTGAAGAGAGGTTACTATTTTGGGGGAAGATATGACCTGAGAGTTATAGCACAGGCTCTGGAGCCCAGTTGCTGGGGTTCAAATCCTGGCTTTGTTACTGCCTGCTCTGGAACCATAGGCAAGTTACTGAATCTCCCCATGCCTTAGTTTTCTTCTCTGAAAAATGAAATAATAACAATACCTTCCTTGAAGTCATTATAAGGATAAAATGAGTTAATGGATTTATGGTGCTTAGAAGAGTGCCTGATTCATAGTGACTACCTGATGCTGTTGGTGATTATTGTTAAAAGATTGCCAATTCAGAGATTCCCAGAAGTAGGAGCATGAGGTGGGATTGAACCAAAATACAAAACTCTTCAGAGTGTGTTCATTTTGGTTCCCTCGTTTCGCAGAGGGCAACCTTCTAAGAGTATGTTATTACATTTTGGTAGCCCCAGACATGAAAGCAATGTTTGTGGTCCAGCTCTTTCTCCTTGCTTATTGGGAGGGTAGCAGCAGACATGAAAAGAAGGAAAGGTGAGGCATCTTAAGGAAAGGCACACCCAGATGTAATGACAGATTGAATGACCTTGAGGGATAACAGAACTAGTAGCTAACAGCAGAGCTGATCTCCATTGGCTGCTTGAGGCTCCATTTTAGGAACTTTGCATATATTAATTCATAAAGCTTCACAATAACTCATGAGGTAGGTACTATTTTTATTCCCATGTTACAGATGCCATAACTGAGACACAAAGAAGTTCAAGAAAATTATTCATAAAATGTTTTAGATAGAGCAAGGATTTAGACTCAAAAATCTGGCTGAGAGTCCCCAACCTCAGCACCACACTACATTACTTCTCCAGGCCAGAAGAGCAGGTTTGGCTCAAGGCAAGGGGGTCCAGGAGGGCCCGGAGACCAACTTGACTTCTTTTATCCCCTTGCCAATGTATTGGCAAGGATGTGGGGATGTGTGTATGGGGAATTTCGTATATACTCAAGTCTGTATTGTAGTACCAAGCCACCATCAGTCTCAAAATGTTTTATGTTCATTACTTTTGTTTCTTCAAAAGAACTAAAGGTTCCTTGAGAGCAGG